AGAGAACTTTGACAGGGCCCTTCGCACTTGAAGCCCAGCTCGGCAACTAAACAAAACTTCATAGAGAAGGACGACGAAGCCTCGCCAGCGCGCGAAGAGGACGAGGTGCGTAGGGCCGTCGAAGAGAAGGTGCACAATTCCTGAGAAAGCGACGTGAGGAGGCGCGGAACCCTGCCAGGGCAACCCGGCGAGGGCAATGTCACCCTGGCGGGGGCAACCCTGCCAAGGGCAACCCTAACTCGGCGGCAACCCTGGCGGGGGCAACGCTGGTGGGGGCAACCCTGGTGGGGGCAACCCTGGCAAAGGTAAAACTGGGCAACCGGCGGGGTTGCGATAAAAACCATTAAATCTACTGGACGTCTTAATTTTAACATAGAATGACATTGAAAGACTTCTCATAAAGTAAAATAGGATGAAAGATAATGAATCCTGCATTTTTATTTGGGGTACAGCTTTTAGCATAGCATATTGGCATAAGAAATACCATTCAGGTACGATATGTAAGGGAGTAAGTAATCCACATGCTTCTACTGCATTCACTGGATGTGAGAAAGAGGAGAAGCCGAAATGAATTTGAAGAAGATATAGATCGAGAATTAATATCTTTCCATAGAAATCTTTATTAATAATGAAAGGGGAAAATGCCATTTTATTATTAGTGGAATTCCTTAAAGGAATATTAGAAGATAGAAAAATGGCGGGGACAACCCTGACCATCCTGGCGGGCAACCCTGGCGGGGGCAACCCTGGCGGGGCAACCTGACAGGGCAAGGTGGGGGCAACCCTGGCGGGGGCAACCCTGGCAGAGGCAACCCTGGCGGGGGCAAACCTCGGAGACAACCCTGGTGGGGGCAACCTTGGCGGGGGCAACCCTGGCAGGGGCAAGCTGAGGTATAAACATATGTTTATTTCTATATGTCTGGACCCTGGCAGGGGCCACTAATGGAGAACTTTGGCAGGGCCCTTCATAGACAAGGACGACGAAGCACACAGGTGCACAATTCTTGAATAGGCGGCGAGGCCAATTTCTGGGGGGCAACCGGAGGGGGCAACCCTGCTAATGAAGGCAACGCTGTCATCTGAAACCAACTGGCGGGGGCAACCCTGGCGGGGGCAACCCTGGCGTGGCGGGGGCAACCCTGGCGGGGGCAACCCTGGCGGGGGCAACCTGACGGGGGTGGCGGGGGCAACCCTGGCGGGGGCAACCCTGGCAGGGGCAACCCTGGCGGGGGCAACCCTGGCAAACCCAACCCTGGTGGGGGCAACCCTGGCAGGGGCAACTGGCGGGGGCAACCTGGCGGCGACCCTGGCGGGGGCAACCCTGGCGGGGGCAACCCTGGCGGGGGCAACCCTCACGGGAACAACCCTGGCGGGGGCAACCCTGCCAGGGGCAACCCTGGCAGGGCAACCCTGCGGGCAATTCTGGCGGGGGCAACCCTGGCGGGGGCAACCCTGGCGGGGGCAGGGCAACCCTGGCGGGGGCAACTCTGGCAGGGGCAAACTTGGTGGGGGCAACCCTGGCGGGGGCAACCCTGGTGGGGGCAACCCTGGCAAAGGCAACCCTCACGGGAACAACCCTGGCGGGGGCAACCCTGGCGGGGGCAACCCTGGCGGGGGCAAGGCGAGTTTTTTTGTATTAAAAATACTTTCTTATTCAAATTTCTCTCTCTACATATATATATATATATATATATATGTCAACCTTGGCGGGGGCAACCCTGGCGGGGCCCTGGCGGGGGTGACTACTAATGGGAAACCCTGGCAATTAATTAATAGAGAACTTTGACAGGGCCCTTCGCACTTGAAGCCCAGCTCGGCAACTAAACAAAACTTCATAGAGAAGGACGACGAAGCCTCGCCAGCGCGCGAAGAGGACGAGGTGCGTAGGGCCGTCGCAGAGAAGGTGCACAATTCCTGAGAAAGCGACGTGAGGAGGCGCGGAACCCTGCCAGGGCAACCCGGCGAGGGCAATGTCACCCTGGCGGGGGCAACCCTGCCAAGGGCAACCCTAACTCGGCGGCAACCCTGGCGGGGGCAACGCTGGTGGGGGCAACCCTGGTGGGGGCAACCCTGGCAATGGTAAAACTGGGCAACCCGGCGGGGTTGCGATAAAAACCATTAAATCTACTGGACGTCTTAATTTTAACATAGAATGACATTGAAAGACTTCTCATAAAGTAAAATAGGATGAAAGATAATGAATCCTGCATTTTTATTTGGGGTACAGCTTTTAGCATAGCATATTGGCATAAGAAATACCATTCAGGTACGATATGTAAGGGAGTAAGTAATCCACATGCTTCTACTGCATTCACTGGATGTGAGAAAGAGAAGCCGAAATGAATTTGAAGAAGATATAGATCGAGAATTAATATCTTTCCATAGAAATCTTTACTAATAATGAAAGGGGAAAATGCCATTTTATTATTAGTGGAATTCCTTAAAGGAATATTAGAAGATAGAAAAATGGCGGGGACAACCCTGACCATCCTGGCGGGCAACCCTGGCGGGGGCAACCCTGGCGGGGCAACCTGACAGGGCAAGGTGGGGGCAACCCTGGCGGGGGCAACCCTGGCAGAGGCAACCCTGGCGGGGGCAAACCTCGGAGACAACCCTGGTGGGGGCAACCTTGGCGGGGGCAACCCTGGCAGGGGCAAGGTGAGGAAAAAACATATGTTTATTTCTATATGTCTGGACCCTGGCAGGGGCCACTAATGGAGAACTTTGGCAGGGCCCTTCATAGACAAGGACGACGAAGCACACAGGTGCACAATTCTTGAATAGGCGGCGAGGCCAATTTCTGGGGGGCAACCGGAGGGGGCAACCCTGCTAATGAAGGCAACGCTGTCATCTGGGAGCAACTGGCGGGGGCAACCCTGACCGGGCAATGGCGGGGGCAACCCTGGCGGGGGCAACCTGACGGGGGCACCTGGCAGGCCACCCTGGCGGGGGCAACCCTGGCGGGGGCAACCCTGGTGGGGGCAACCCTGGCCCTTGCAACTGGCCCATGCAACCTTCACGGGAACAACCCTGGTGGGGGCAACCCTGCCAGGGGCAACCCTGGCAGGGCAACCCTGCGGGCAACTCTGGCGGGGGCAAATCTGGCGGGGGCAACCCTGGCGGGGGCAGGGCAACCCTGGCAGGGGCAAACTTGGTGGGGGCAACTCTGGCGGGGCAACCCTGGTGGGGGCAACTGGCAAAGGCAACCCTCACAGCGGGGGCAACCCTGGCGGGGGCAACCCTGGCGGGGGCAACCCTGGCGGGGGCAACCCTGGCAACCCTGGCGGGGGCAACCCTGGCAGGGGCAACCCTGGCGGGGGCTGGCGGGGGCAACCCTGGCGAGAGCAACCTTGGCGGCCTTATGCGGGCAACCCTGGCGGGGGCAATGTTGGCGGGGGCAGGGCAACCCTGGCGGGGGCAACTCTGGCAGGGGCAAACTTGGTGGGGGCAACCCTGACGGCAACCCTGGTGGGGGCAACCCTGGCGGAAACAACCTGGCGGGGGCAACCCTGCAACCCTGGCGGGGGCAACCCTGGCCACTCTGGCGGGGGCAACCCTGGCGGGGCAACCCTGGCGGCGGCAACCCTGGCGGGGGCAACCCTGGCGGGCTGGTGGGGGCAACCCTGGCAGGCAACCTTGGCGGGGGCAACCTGGCTGACCAACAACCCTGTGGGGGAACCCTGGCGGGGGCAACCTGGCGGGGGCGCAACAGCTTCTTAGGCCCGACCTCCCCCGCCGGGGTCGCGCGTCGGGGGTTTAGGGTTAATCCATTATTACATTGTGCCCTATGGCTAGCAGGGATGCATCAGGTGTGGCAAGCTCGATCTGCTTGGCAAAGCAAGCAGATCTCGAAGCGGTAGCGTTCAGTTGTACCGGCCGCCGCCTGGCGCGGGCGGCCTATGGTTTAAGATTTACATCCTGAGGCTCAAAAAGTCAAGTTCCTCGAGGGCCTAGTGGCCTAGCTGCAGTCCTCACAGACCCTCAACAACCTACAAAAAAAAAAAACAACCCTAAGCCCTGAAACCTGAACCCCCTTCTTTGGCTACCCCAGAACCCTAAAGCCCAAAATCCCTAAACCCTAAACCCCTAAACCCCTAACCCCTAACCCCTAAACCCTAAACCCTAAACCCTAAACCCCCTTTTTTGGCTACCCAGAACCCTAAAGCCCAAAAAGCCCCAAACTCAAGAACACACCCAGGCCCTGGATGCGGCCGTCGACTCAGGGTTGCTGAGTTTAGGGTTTCGGTTTAGGGTTTAGTGTTTGGGGTTTAGGGTTTAGGGGTGAGGGTTTAGGGTTTAGGGTTTGGGGTCTAGGGTTTGGGGCTTAGGGTTTTCGCTGCGAGTGCGCTTCGACCCCCTCCATGAAGTGGTTGGGGGTCGGCGCATGAGCTGCAATGCCCGCCCGCCCACCCAAAATACAAACCTTAGACGGGTTCAGGGTTGTCTACCCCCCTACCCCCCTATCAAGGGGGGATATATGGTTTGGTGAAGCAGGGGTAAATGATCACCTTCGACAAACTGTGGAGAAAATTCACCCTCTTCAATTTGCAGAATGCTTTGTTTCTAGTTGGCAGATCTTCAACTCAAGACGCGGTACCTGTCAACAGCAATTGAACGAAGGCAAGTGCATTGTTTTGGTCAAGTAACATAAACATGAATGCATGAGCGCCGCTTCTTTGAGAGCCAAGATTCTGTGCGCAAGACAAATGCAAGTCATCTGGCAAGTGAGGGGCAACTCCTGGAGCACTGCACCAAGCTACTTCCGTACTGCGCGTGCAATAAATCACCAGGCCTGTGCAACTAGAGTGCCATATGCAAAAGGCTGACGACCTTGATTTGCCGCTTCCAAAGCTGTCCTGCGGCAGGTTGAAGACGCACCGTGCTTTGCGCTGCCTAGCGCCGCGCGGCACCGGTTTCTGAAGGTGAGACATGTCAATTAACTCGCTGTGGGCCACCTGTACGTGTGTGGCCCAATGATGTGAAACGACTTGAAAGGGACGTCACTTGGCTGGAGTGAAGTGATCCTCCGTCAAGATGCCCGCCAACAAGAAGTCCTTGTAGTAGCCGACCCTACTGATGGCAGTGTAGGCCGCGGCAGGCACCTTCGGGGCATCCAGGTAGACGACGACGTGAGGCAGCTCGGCGCCCTGGAACTTCAGGATGGTGGACGCGTAGCCCGGCCGGACGGGATAGTAGACCAAGCCACCCCTTTCCGGGTCAGTCCATGGCCAGATGCTGACCACAAAGCCAGTCGTGGTGCGCACCAGGAGGCCACCCGTGTTGTCGTCGTACTTCAGCACCGTCGCCTCCATGCCGTTGACGAAGTCGACATCCTTCCGCACGTTGCGGGTCAAATATACCCGCATGCCCTTGTAGACAGGCATGGTGGAGGGCTGCAGCTCGGCAGGTGACTTCAGCTTGCCTTGCACATAGTTCTCAGGATTGGAGTCCACGTCAGCTGGCAAAGTCGCAATCGGAGGGTACTTCGGGAAGAGGGCCTTCAAGGCAGTTCCGTTGACCACAGCAGCGCCCCGCCTGGTGCACGTCAGGATGGTCGTGTTGGGCTTGGATTTGAGGAGCTTCTGGAGTCCCTTCACCGTCGGCCGGCCCGGCGGCCGCCACGCCACCTTCTTGCGGAGCTGCCGGAGCAGCTTGGCATTTGGCTTGCCGGTCCTGAGGGTTGCCAGCAGCTTGGCGTGCACCTTGTCCTTGCAGCGGTACATTTTGTGGAGGGCCACGCGGTAGCACATGGTGTTCCACAGGCGCGAATGCCACGGGCGCTTGTCCCCCATGCCGGGCATCTGGTACCGATCACCCAGCAGCGCGAGGGCCGGCGTGCGCTCTGCCGCTGCCCACAAGCGCAAGATCCTGTCGAAGTTGACCATGTCCAGCTGCGAGAGCTCGTCCACGACGATGAGGGAGTACATGCCCAACAGGGACGCCTCGCCGTGCTCCGCAGACTCATGCAGGCCGAACGCCGCATGGCAGGTGTCGATGTCGATCTTGTGGCCGTAGCGGGCCTTCATGCGACTGGCCAACTGGGCGGTCGGCAACGCCATCAAGACCCTGCCGCCCTTGGCCAGGGCACGGTCGATGCAAGAGAAGACCACGGTGGTCTTGCCGGTCCCGGGTGGTCCCAGGCACACATTGGCCTTGCTGTCCCTCGCCTCTTGTCGCAGACGGTCCGCCTCGCCGTCGTCCTCTGCGTCCTCGATGGCCAGCGCTCTGTCCACTGCAGTGTCGACGAGCTCCTTGAAGCCTCGGTAAGCCAGACAAGTATATATAAGTGCACGCATGTGTGTGGACGTAAACTTACACAAGACACCTCGCCAGATTTTTGACGCAGACAAAGGCGCGGAGTTGCTGCCTGTTGAACTTGCTGGCGTCCACGGGGCCTGCCTTCTTCTTGGGGGTCTTCGTTTTGCTGCGGCACTTCTCCTGGCCGCGGTGCGCACGGATCATGGCCAGGATGGTGTCCACGTGGTCCTTGGTGTGTGCCTCCATCTTCAACTCCGAGCGGATCTTCTCGTCGTCCTGCCACATGGCTTGCGCTACTGGGTGCTCGCAGAGGATGGCCATGGCGAAGTACTTGTGTGCCTCCGGGAGCCGTTGGGCGACGTGATCTGGCACGTAGAAATCAGTGGCTGTCTCGAAGGGAACATGAAGCATGAGCCACTGGCCAAAGTAGCGGTCGTTGAACTTGGAAACCGTCTCGGCGGCCACGACTTTCTCGCCTTGCATCACGTAGTTCGCGGCAAAGTCCTCCAGGGTGGCGCCGCTGCCAGACTGCACGTGTTTCTTCCTGAGCCAGTGACAGATCTTGCCCTCGTCCGTGGTCTTGCGCAAGTAATCGAGCAAGCTGATGCGGCCGCGAGCCCATTCCGCCTGCTCGTACAGCTCCACCTCGCGGAGCTTGGGCTCCTGGTCTGGGTAAGGCGCCACCACGTCGCGCTTGCCGCCGCTCTGCGTGGAGAGGTGCCACTGGCGGAACTTGGCGCCGAAGAGCTGCAGCACCATCTCGGGCTCCAGCGGCCGGTAGCGCATGAGGACGGTCGCGGCGATGCTCATGGCGTCGGCGTCATCGTTGAGCCACTCCTCGCTGGCCGCGTCCGAGAACTTGCTGACGTATTTGGTGACATAGGCGCGGAGCAGGCCGTCGTCGTCGCACATCTGGAAGTCTTGGTGGCAGCGGAGCACCTCCATGAGATCAACGAGGTAGGGGCGCAGGCCTTCCGCATGGTCGTCCTCCGTGTGTTGCAGGAGCCACGTGCCCGCGTCACGATCGAAGCAAGTCGGTTCTTCGTGGACAGGCCAGCCGCTCTTCTTGTCCCGGTCGTACTGGCTGCCTTCGACATAGCCACGAAGGTCCGCGTCTTCGGGCAAAGTGGCAGACACGGTCTCGGCCAAATCTAGCTGCTCCACGTCTTCAGGCTTCACGAAGATGACGACGTGCACGTGGACTCGGCCCGAGCCGTGGTAGTCCTGCGTGGCTGCCTTGCGAGTGCCATCCTGATATTCCAGGCGCATGAAGAAGTGCAGGCGGCGGGCCTGGCCCTGCCCATCAACAACGCGGAAGATGTTGCTCTTCCACGCTTTGCGCCCGTGTCCCCCCGTCTGCCCCAGCAGCAAGCCTTTCACGGCCTGGACCATGACGTGCACCATGTGCAGCGTCTCCGCCGCCGGCAGGAAGAGGCGCTCCTTGAGCATCTTCTGCATCTCATCGCGGACCCACTCGTGGTAGGGGAAGCTCCATTCGTAGGGGGCAATGGTGAAGAAGACGCGAGGGTAGCCGACCTGCCGCACCATGTCCAGCAAGGCGTAGTGCACTCCACGCCAATAGTGAGGGCTGAAGGCCTCGCCCTTGAGCATGAGGCGCATGGGCGTCGGCAGCTGCAGATTCTTCTTGGAACCGATGCTGCTCCAGAGGTTGAGGTCATAAACAAACTGGAGAAGCTCGAAGTTCGCAGCGTAGCCCAGCAGGCGACCCAACGCCAAGGCAGCAAAGAGACGTTTCATGCTGTGGCGTGTGGCGTCATTTGCTTCTGCGTCCTCCGCATCTGCCACCTGGCTCTCCTCTTCGCTGTCGTCGTTGCCCTCAACCTCCTCATCGCTGTCTGCAGCAGGAAAGGCTGCACGCCCAGCGGGCCGACCGGCATTCAGCACGTCCTCCAAGGTGGCTGCCCGCTCCTGCCGAATCACCCGCCTGGGATCCGTGGCACGCTCGTGAGTGAAGGTGCGCTTCACATCCCAGAACAAACCAGGCCAGAGGGCGCACTCCACGCCGAGACGTTCAATGAATTGCAGCCGGCGACGGCGAGTGAGCTCGTCAGCGCCGGGGTGTTCTTCCAGAAACTCCGCATGCTCGGCCACAAAGGTCGCATAGGGTGTGTCATCCGAGGCCATCAAGAAGTCGTAAGCTGCGCGGGCCTTCGTCCGCATGTTCACGTCCTGGCTATGTCAGCGAGCAAATGCGTTGCTGAAAATATCGACTTGTATGTAGTACTTTAGGAAACCTGTGTACTCTACGCCTGGCCTGCAGGTGCTTGATGCGCTTCTTCACTGTAGTCGTTTGCCAGCGGAAGCGGATCATGGTCGTCTTCTGGCGGTAGCCGGATTTGTGCTCTGCACGCACGATCGGGCCCACATCGATCTCCAAGGGCGACAATGCCTGCGCAGCCTCTGCAGACAGCTCCCGCAGAACCTCTGGCACATCAGCCAGCGTCACCACCGGCTGCACGCGCGCAGCTTTGCATCTGGAGCACTTGCCTGAAGGATTGGTGGGTGGCTGGGGCTTGTTGAGCGTGCTCTCTGTGAGGTCGCGAGGCGCGAGGAGGCCGCAGTTCTCGCACATGCTCCAGGAGTCGAAAAGGCACCAACGCTCGAAGTCCTCGGCCAGCCGGCGGCGCTTCGCCGGGGGCAACCCAGTGGTATTCTCGACGGCCTCGCCAGCTGGCGTTCTCTTTGAAGGCTGGCCCATACGGCGCCGTGCCCGAGCCCTGTCTGCCAGAACCTGCTCTCGATATTTCTTCTTTGTCGCAGCCGACGCCGGGGCTGCAGCTGTCTGCCGCGATGCCAGGGCACCTCTCCACAAGACGGGGAGCTCCTGCCTGTCCAGCAGGCGCCGGCTTCCCCGCCCAGCCGCGCGCTTGGGCGCCGGACCCTGCAGCTGCGCTTCAAAATATTCTACCGCGTCGGGCGGCAGGCGTTCTTCCAAAGCACGGGCACGGGCAGCCACTGATAAGCGCCGGAGCTTGCCCAGAACCTGCAAGCGTATGTTTCTGCACTCATGTTCTGCGCACTTCTGTACGTCATGCAGAAAAAGAGCACAGAGACTTGGCTGAGTGGCTTCTCGCTTGCCAGCTTCCTCCGCGCACAGTGGCCATAGATCTTCAGGTCGACAGAACAGACACCGTGCGCTTCGGCCCATCACCTGAGCTGGGCCTCCACGTGCTGCAAGAGCAAAGGCGCAGCGCTCGCCGTTCATGCCCACGCACACCCGTGGCTTGGTCAGCTCTGCCTGGAAGTAGCCACGGAAGTCCTCCGGCACCCGCTCCAAGGCAAGGCGCTGGTACTCGGGCGTCAAGGCCAACAGCAAGCGCTTGACGTGTCCACGCGACCGTGGCTGGACACAGGCAGCGGCCAAACGATCTGGATCACAGAAGACCTCAGGCAGCAACGCAGCTTGGTCAAAATGGCTCTTGCGCAACTTCTGGCGTGCTACGGACAGTTAGACAGCAGTTCATCTGCCATCAAGGGGCACATGCAAGAAATGCACCTCGCTGCGCTGCACGGCCCGGGCTCTGCGCCGAGAAGCAACAAGAAGAAGCCGCTGTGCCAGGACACACGGAGGGCATGGCTCTGACAAGTGGAAAACTCCTGAAATCGACGAAGTATTCCTCTGAAAAACTCACAAGAACTCGAGCCAGGGCAGAGCGAGAACACAAATCAAACCTGTTCCTCCAATCAGCAGGCTAGACTGGCTAGATTGAAGAAGTATAAGGCTCCGAAAGCAGCGCAGGGCGTGACAAGGCACGGGCATGCAGTCGCTTTTTTGCGTCTGATCGGGAGCACGTTGAGGTGTGTGGTGCTGTACAGTGGGCTGCGCCTGTGCTGGTCTTGTGCTGCCACGACTTTGAAACACGATGGTCTTCGGCTACTCACTCCTCTCCTGGCTCATTCTCCAGAGCCTCGATGACCGCAGCAGGCGCCTCTGGCGGTCCTCCCTCCTCGGGCAAGCCGGCGTCCGCCGCCAGCCGGGCCTGCTCATGAATGCTCTTCGCCTTGGCCACCATGTCCTGCATGGTCTCGAAGATATTGATCAGCTTGTCCTTCTTCGGCAGGCGTGTCATCTGCTTCAACGTCTGCAGAACCTTGGCCAGCCCATGCTCCGTCAGCACGGCCTCAGGCACGTTATCCAGGAGAGCGACCAGCGCGTACAATGGCAGCCTATTCTTTTTGTTGTCCTGGTTTGCAACCATGGTCTGCAACTCATCCGCAAACTTGGCCACCTCGGACTCTGCCCAGGACAGATGCGGGTCGAGCCCCGGAGTTTCTGCCTCCTCCTCCTCTTCCTGATCCTCCAAGGAAAGCTCAACGGCCGCCGGCCTTGCCGATGTCGCCCGCTTCTTCGGAGCTTCGGTTTTCTTCAGTTTCTTCTTCTTCTCCTTCTTCTTCTTCTCATCACTTCCATGGGAGTGGGAAGACGAGGAGGAGCCGGACTTGTGGTCGCTTTCGCTTCCAGATTCCTTGGCTTCGGAGTTGTTCTCCGACTCAGACCCGGACTCCTCCTTGCCAGCTGCTTCCTCGCTGCTGTCTCCGAAGGCCCGTTTCTTGCGGGGAGCTTTCGCTTCCAGGCGAGCCGCGTTCGTCGCCGCGACGGCTTCCACGCAACTGTCCAGAGTCTTCTTCTGGATGAACTTCCGGATGGGTTTGTCCTGCTTGGACTCGTCCGGGATCTTCTTTGCCCACGCCTTCGGATTGGACGCGAGAGTGCAAAGCTCCAAACCAGCCATAGCGCCAGCGTACATGCGTGAGGCTGTGTCTGCCAGTCGAGCGAAGTCCTTCACCCGTTGCTGCAGAGCCTCCTTCTTCCCAAGCTTCTTGAGCACCTTCTCGGCGTGCGGCTTCAAAGAAGATGCAGATGAGCACGCCTTGTTTGACAGGTTGACGGCCGCCAAAGCACTGCCCAAGGGCTCCAAGAGCTTCTTGACAGCTGGAATTCCAGTTTGCCCAAACTTCTTCTCAGACGATGAAGGAAGCACCGCCAAGGCAGCTGCGCAGGATTCCAACGAGGCAGAGGCCATGCTGACGCCCAGGCCTGGCCGAGCGATGCACTCCGAGGTCTCTGCTGTAAGCTGCTCGGTCAGCGTGGAGGTGGTGAAGTATTCCGTCGGCGCTTGCTTGTCCGTCAGGAGCACGCAGCCATCCTCATCGGGCCAGCTGCGGAGAAACGCTTTCAGGGGCAGCTTGTAAAACGGTACACCTGGAGGGTATTTGCCCTTCGCCTTGCCATCCTTGGCGATGTGCTTGCCTGTCGATTTCCGGGGGACCCACTTGCCCATGGCTGCTGCAAGTCAATGACCTAAAATTGGACTACTAAAGCTGGAACTCTCACTTTTGCGCAGCACAGCTATCGGAACGGCCCCACGCTGCTGCTGAACTCAGTAAAGTCACAAAGCGTGGCAGAGGATTTTTCTCAGTTGCGCACGACCACAGTCATGTGGCAGCAGACCACAGTCATGTGGCAGCAGACCACAGTCAGGGGATCGTATTCTGCTGCGCTTGAAATTCTGGGTCACGTATGGACTAGCAGTCTCGAACGAGCCCTCCAAGGATTCAATGCAATGTTGTTATTTCGAAGAAAAAGCAAAGCTTGCAGACCGGCAGCCCAAGTTGCACCCATCAATCTATTTGTCTTCATTGTCCTCGACTCGAAGCAGCCCTTCCCAAAGTCCAGGTCTTGAACAAGCCCTCCAGGTAGTCCTCCTTCTTCGCCCCATGATAGGCTGGTGCTTCGTTCCAGCGTCCGCGCACAGACAAAGGATGCAATGCAACGCTGTTATTTACAAGAAAGAGCAAAGCCTTGCAGAGACCAGGTCACCCTGCGCCCGAATCACCTCAAGAATGGATCACCCCAACGACTGGGTCACCTCAGAGCTGGGCATGCCAGAACTGAGTCACCCCAGCGTTGGGTCACTCCGAAAGCTTGAGTCACTTCAGGATTGGGTCACCCAGCCTCGTCTGCAGCCGAAGGTGCTTTGCCCAAGCGTTCTATTTGTCGTCAATGTCCTCGATTCGAACGAGCCCTTCACAAAGTCCAGGATTTGAACGAGCCCTTCAGCAGGAAGTCCTCCTTCTTCGCCCCGTGATAGACTGGCCTGGCAGACAAGGGGTTCAATGCTGTTATGCTTTAAAACGAAAACACAATGTCTTGCTAAGATCAGCAGCCGAAGTTGCACACATCAATCTATTTGTCTTCAATGTCCTCGACTCGAACCAGCCCTTCACAAAGTCCAGGTCTTGAACGAGCCGTCCTCCTTCTTTGTCCCCGGGAGAAGCAAATTGGCCCTTCAGGAAGTCCTCCTTCTTTGTCCCCGGGAGAAACAAACTGGCCCTTCAGGAAGTCCTCCTTCTTTGTCCCCGGGATAAGCAAATTGGCCCTCCAGGAAGTCCTCCTTCTTTGTCCGGCCCTCCAGGAGGAGGTGCTGTGGTGGGGGTGCTCTGGCGGGGGTCACTCTAAAGGCCCTGCCCCAGGATCTGGCCGGACCCGTAGTAAAAATGCGATTTTTTAGTATTGAAAAACGATGGTTTTGGGTGACCCTCCGTTTTATGGGGAAGGCCCCTTCAGGGAAGGCCCCTTACGGGGAAGGCCCGCCCCTTACGGGGAAGGCCCCTTACGGGGAAGGCCCCTTACGGGGAAGGCCGGCCCCTTACAATAAAGGCCCCTTACGAGGAAGGCAGTCCTCCTTCTTTGTCCCCGGGAGAAACAAACTGGCCCTCCAGGAAGTCCTCCTTCTTTGTCCCCGGGATAAGCAAATTGGCCCTCCAGCAAGTCCTCCTTCTTTGTCTCCGGGATAAGCAAACTGGCCCTCCAGGAAGTCCTCCTTCTTTGTCCCCGGGATCCCTCCAGGAAGTCCAAGAAGTCTTCCTTCTTTATTGCCGGATAAGCAAACTGGCTCTCCAAAAAGTCCTCCTTCTTTGTCCCGGGATAAGCAAACTGGCCAGTCCTCCTTGTTTGTCCCCGGAAACAAACTGGCCCTCCAGGAAGTCCTCCTTCTTTGTCCCCGGGATAAGCAAACTGGCCCTCCAGGAAGTCCTCCTTCTTCGTCCCCGGGAAAAGCAAACTGGCGCTCCAAGAAATCTTCCTTCTTTGTCCCCAAGAAGCAAACTGGCCCTCCAGGAAGTCCTCCTTGTTTGTCCCCGGAAACAAACTGGCCCTCCAGGAAGTCCTCCTTCTTTGTTCCCGGGATAAGCAAACTGGCCCTCCAGGAAGTCCTCCTTCTTCGTCCCCGGGAAAAGCAAACTGGCCCTCCAAGAAATCTTCCTTCTTTGTCCCCAAGAAGCAAACTGGCCAGGAAGTCCTCCTTCTTTGTCCCCGGATAAGCAAATTGGCCCTCCAGGAAGTCCTCCTTCTTTGTCCCTCCTTCTTTGTCCCCGGGATAAGCAAACTGGCCCTCCAGGAAGTCCTTCTTCTTTGTCCCCGGGCCAGGATAAGCAAACTGGCCCTCCAGGAAGTCCTCCTTCTTTGTCCCGGGATAAGCAAACTGGCCCTCCAGGAAGTCCTCCTTCTTTGTCCCCGGGATAAGCAAACTGGCCCTCCAGGAAGTCCTCCTTCTTTGTCCCCGGGATAAGCAAACTGGCCCTCCAGGAAGTCCTCCTTCTTTGTCCCCGGGATAAGCAAACTGGCCCTCCAGGAAGTCCTCCTTCTTTGTCCCCAGAATAAGCAAACTGGCCCTCCAGGAAGTCCTCCTTCTTTGTCCCCGAGGAAGTCCTCCTTCTTTCTCCCCGGGATAAGCAAACTGGCCCTCCAGGAAGTCCTCCTTCTTTGTCCCCGGGATAAGCAAACTTGCCCTCCAGGAAGTCCTCCTTCTTTGTCCCCGGAGAAGCAAACTGGCCCTCCAGGAAGTCCTCCTTCTTTAATAAGCAAACTGGCCCTCCAGGAAGTCCTCCTTCTTTGTCCCCGGGATAAGCAAACTGGCCCTCCAGGAAGTCCTCCTTCTTTGTCCCCGGGAGAAGCAAATTGGCCCTTCAGGAAGTCCTCCTTCTTTGTCCCCGGGATAAGCAAAATGGCCCTCCAGGAAGTCCTCCTTCTTTGTCCCCGGGATAAGCAAAGTGGCCCTCCAGGAAGTCCTCCTTCTTTGTCTCCGGAGAAGCAAATTGGCCCTCCAGGAAGTCCTCCTTCTTTGTTCCCAGGATAAGCAAATTGGCCCTCCAGGAAGTCCTCCTTCTTTGTCCCCGGGATAAGCAAACTGGCCCTCCAGCAAGTCCTCCTTCTTTGTCCCCGGAGTAAGCCTCCAGCAAGTCCTCCTTCTTTGTCCCTGGGATAGCGCAGGAAGTAGCCCCGGTCGTTAGCACTGAAGTTTAGGGTTATTATTATATAGGCTGACAAAGCCATTCCTCCTTCTTTGTCCCCGGGTAAGCAAATGGGCCCTCCAGGAAGTCCTCCTTCCTTGTCCTCGGGAGAAGCAAACCTCTCATTCCGGGCCTTAATTTCAAGTCCTCGCCTAGGGGGAGGTTTTCAAGCGTGCCCGGTCGTTTGCAGCTGGGTTTAGGGCTATCATTATATAGGCTGACAGAAGCGGCCTATTCGAGCGCCGCGTGGACCTGAGGTCCAGGACCCTACGGCTCGCCTTTCGGCCTTCGCCTACGGGTCCGCAGGCCCCTGCCGGTGGCCTGCTAACGACCGGCCCCTATCGCTGGAAAGGGGGCCGGTCTTCAGTTTAGGGTTTAGGGTTTAGGGTTTAGGGTTTAGGGTTTAGGGTTTAGGGGTTGCTAGGGCTATTGGGGCTTGCTAGGGTTGCTAGGGTTGTGCGGGTTTAGGGTTCCCTTTAGCCGACCTAGCCGCAGGCATCCGCAGGTTGGTTGCTTAGGCAGTCAACTACAGGCTCTTCTTATGGAAGATTTGGGCGTTTAGCGCGTTAGGGCACTAGGGTTTAGGAGAACTTGTGGCTCCGAAGGGTACGAGGTTTAGGATGCTTAGGGGTTGCGAGGCGTGGGGATTCAAGAGCTTTGCAGCCCCCTCACGCTGATGATGTTCTCCCCAGGCGACGCTTCTGGGTCATGATGCTGATGAGGTTCTTTGATGATGCGGATCATGTTCTCCCTTTCTCTGGCCTTTGCAGGCTCCTCCAGGCGAAGCGCCGTGGCCACGATGCTGATGATGTTCTGGCCTTCCTTAGAAACCCTCCAGGCAGGCGAAGCGTTGCAGGCATCCTCAGGCGAAGTGCCGGGGCCAAGATGCTGATGATGTTCTCCCCTTCTCCGGCGTTTACAGCCCCTCCTGGTGAAGCGCCGGGGCCGTGATGCTGATGATGTTCTTGTCTTAGCGCATCCCCACCGCCTTAATATTGTAAAGAGGGGGGGGGGGGGGGGGGGGGGGGGCATAAATGTGAAACCTTTTTTTTTTTTTTTTTTTTACATTTTCCGGGTTTCCGGATGCCGCATGTTGAGGGGGGGGGGGGGGGGGGGTGGAATTGGAGCTACAAGCATAGCCCCTGTTGAAGTTGGGGGCCGGGGGGGGGGGGAGGGTGGGGAGGTAGAGGTCTCGGTGTGATGGCTGGCCGTGCATGTCTGGCATCTTGGGTGAGCGAGGGAGGAGAGAGAGAGAGAGAGAGAGAGAGAGAGAGAGAGAGAGAGAGAGAGCGAGAGAGTGAACGGGGGGCAGCCCCTCCGGGTAGCCAGGGGTGTGATGCCCGCCTTGCATGTATGGCAGATATGGGTGGGAGAGGGAGATAGAGTGAGAGAGTGAGAGGCCGAAGAAAAAATGGAAGCAAGGAGGGTGGTGTGTGTCTGTGGGTAGCTCTGCGACGTGCTGATTCAGATGTGAAGGCTGTGGGGTGCTGGACGGTCGCCCAATCATGTGCATACATGTGCAGATGTAGGATGCTGCTCGGCCGCCTGGCGTCCAAGCTGGCTCAGTCATGTGCAGACATATGCAGAGCAGTCCAAACATGTCCAAGCCTTGGGTAAGGCGGAGATTCAAGGGCGCACATTATTTTCCAGGGCTTCTCTTGTCCTGCCTTTATCGCCATGTGGCGTCTCAAACCCACTTCGGCCCGCAAGTCACGCCCCAAAATGGGCGAACCCATCTGCCGCTGGGGATGAATTCTTGTTTTGTCGGCATGTACTGTCGGCATGTCGGCATGTTGTAGCACGTTACTGGGGTCTGCAGGGCAAACGTGTAGTGTAATTCACCTCCAGAGTGAGTTCAGCCGAGATTCCTGGATAGCCTCGGACGGTACATCCTTCAGATCTCACAAGCTGGCTAGCAAGTACGCCAAGGACCAGAAGCTTCAGGCAACTTTGGTTTTTACAGCTTCATCTCTCTTCTTCCAAGTGTCTT